TGGTTTTTACTTTTTCTCACGGCTTATATTTTAACTGATTTTTACTTTTTTAAACTTATATTTTAACTGATTTTTCACTATTTCAGTGCTTTATATTTTATCTTAGAACATTGCCACTGGGTTTTATCTCTATTTTACACTTTAAACTTTTTTCTTTTTGTGTGATACTTATATTGTTACATTGTTTTACCTTTTGCCCATCTTTTACGTAATTTTTTTCGATTGCTTTATTGTTTAACATGTTGTTACTGTGTTAACTTGTAAATTTTAAGGCTAACTGGGGCATTGTGAACCTGCGTGGAGATGTTCATATTAATATCACCAATGTATGTAATGTTTTACATGTTTTGTAGAATAATTTTTCCTGGACTCCCTATAAGGGATGATCCATCGGCAATCGCACTCTAAAGTGGGCTTCCCGGAGCAAATTGTCTTTACTTCAATTTCTTACCTTATTCCTCAGTTGCCATCAATTGTAAATTTTATTTGTATTTTAATAAATGCCATGGGTGTGGCTTAGCCGACCTGGTTGGTTGGCTGTGAGCATGTGCTGATGTGCGCATCGCTATCCTCTCTGGAGGGCTGCTGTGGTGGCGGGTCGTCTTATCTTCTCAAGAAGGATAGAAATTTTTTTTCTTCTTACTTCTCCTTGGTAATTTAGCCATTTCTCCTCCCCTCATCTCCAAACCTTTGATGAAGAATAATCTGCTAATCTGTAGTGTCCCCTGCCATGCTGGAAGTTTTCTGCCTGAGGTATTAGAACTTTTTTACCACAAGAACAGTGTGCTTTCTTGCAGTGACAAACACGACACTATATACTGGCATTCAACGCTGTCTTTCGTAGCTCTGTTCCCAAAGAAAATAAAAAAAGCCGTAGATTAAGTACCTTACACTTGAATCATTGCGATGTTTTTAAACATATAAATATAATCTTGCCGTGAAGAATTATTTGGGTTTGAAAACTGAGAAATAACTTAAATAGTATAAAAGTTATTTAACTTTTTTAAAAATCGCCAATTTGGAGATGTTTTCCCACCTAGATGAAAATTATCAAAATCACTGCCTTTTTCTCAGTTTTTGCAAATTTTTATAATCCCATGTAATGCAGCTTTAAATTAAGTTTTTAAATATTAAGAAAATTAAACCACAAACGCTTTTCATTTTCACAAAACTGGGTCTTTTCTGACGTTTTGCACCCTTTTTAAAATAGGGGTAGACAGCTCGGGCTAAACTTGATTTAACAGTCATGAGTGATAGTTGCAAACTCACAGCAGTTATAAAAATAGCATATTATTTGCAAAAAAAAAAAATCATTTCATATTAAGTAGCCTTCGAAAACAGCATTAAAGTCAAATATTAGCCTCCGGATTCATCATCACAACATTGGAGGAGGTCGATTGCTCATCGATTTATGCAGAACAAGTTTGAAAACTGTACTTGTTACCAAATTAAAGCAAATACTCATCAGTACCGATTGGATGCTCTACCCACCTGAAAGAGATAAATTAAGTATGTTCTTGAAAAAATGCGCTATCATGACTGTTGTATCTGAGGTAATTTATTCTCATAAAAATGCAGGTACACCAACTAAGCGATAGAATCATAGCATGAAAAAAATTCAGTTGCTCAAAAATCCTGAAAATAAAATAAATTCCCCAGGGCGTCAGTGATTGACAGTACTTCTCATCAAGTTGGAGCTCTTAAAGAATTTTATGAATGTACGAGAACAGTGGTTCCCAAATGCTGTTCCGTGGAATCCTAGCGTACCGTAAAGTGTTTCGAAGAGTTAGACATTTTTTTAAACACTAATGTTTTTTCGGGACCTGGTATTAAGTTTATATCCAATTAATAATCCTTTATTTATTTAATATTTACTTCATTTTATGAAATTAATTTATTGAAATGCGTTTGAAGAAAGAAATTTTAAAAGAATATTTTTTTCTGATAACAATAAAATAAATGAATTGTGAAAAAGGTATTCATTTGGGAAAAATTCCATTGGTATTTAAAATTGAATAAAAATACCAGAATACAACAAAGAAGAAGAAGGTTTCTTTAATAACTATTCAGCTCATTAATTTGACAGTTTATGCATGCATTAAAATCAAGTTAAGAACTCGACTAGATGCCGCTTCAGACCAGTGGATTCAACTGTCTGACGTAAAAACCAATTATAAGACTTGTATTGATGTTGTAGTTGTTGACGTATTGCCTCTTTAGGAAGAGGGGTGCGATTGTTCCTGTTTTCCAGTGGCGCCATCTATTGTCAAGAATTCTACTTCTGTCACACCATACGTCGCACCCGTTTTTAGGGCGGACCCATTCATTCATCCATTCATTCATTCACAGATCGTAATTTTGACCTGAATCAGAGAACGATCGATCTCCAATCCTGTACTCCCAGAGGTATTGATTTCTTATGGGAATATGGCGGACTTTCGCGACTCGACAGATCTAATGTGCATCAGTCATTTTACTACACGGGGAGTCTTCGACTGGCGGGGTTCGAACCCACGAACTCTCACTTGTATTAATAAAACGTTATAATTAAAAAATTGTGTTCTTCACTCATTCACTAAAAATTTTAACAATAATTATTAAAATTTAGATCGTTACATATTTTTAAATTAATTAATTGTCTTTCGTTAATTAATCTATTCGAAACTGCTGATAGAATATTTTCTATAAGTCTCGGGGTTCCACCAAAAGAAGCTCGATCATTAAGGGTTCCGCAGTCGGAAATCGTTGTACTAGACAACGACTCGGGTGCTTTTCAAAAAATTTCCTGAGTTGAATTACGCGAAAGTGCGTTTATAGGATTGCAAGTAGGAACGGTTATCACACTTCAAAGACTTGCTGGCATGGTTGGCATTTGTAGCCAATTTCTTTGATAATTATGAACATGAGGACTATGCTAATATTCTTAAGAAGTGTGGTGTGCTAAGAGTCACTCTTAAAATTCATATCCTGGATACACATCTTTACTTTTATCCATCAAAACTAGGTTCAGTCAGTGAACCTTTTCACCCAACCATCTAGGGGATATTGGTGTATAAGAAATGATGGAGTTCAGAAATATTGGGTGACTACTGCTGGGTACTCCAAAAAGACATGGCAAATTCTTACCACCAAACTCACATATACAGTCAAAATATTCAAACCAAGCGCACCTTATGTAAAGGAGATATTTTCACTGCGCATTTAATCATTACTACAGATTTCTGTATACAGTGAACTCTCACTTATGCACCGGTGAAAGAGGCGCATAAGTGAAAAACTTCAAAATTCTAAAACGCAACGTAAATTGCAGTGACAATATGAATAAATATGTTTCTAAAGATTAAATGTTAATATTTATATTGTTTTGGTATTTAGTAACATAATCATACAAAGAAAAAATTTAACATACCTTAAGACAATTTATTTCCTTACAAAATAATCTTAATACATGTTTGTATTTGTCAAAATTAAATTGTAAATAGTCACAAATAGTGTCTAAAGCTTCCAATACTGTTGTGTGATTTGGAGGAACTTTATCATCCTCGTCAGTATCATCCACCACATTCTCATCGTCCACAAGTTTTAGTTAGATATAAATAAACACTTCTTCACAAAAAATTTGAGTTTTATGGGAGGGGGTGAAACATCACATGATAAATTTCTAAGAAAAGTACTGGACGTCATAATATGCTGCACGATAAGTTGTTCGATTACTAATGTCACTAAACAGATCACCTCCTTTTATTTACTTATAATGTCCATCTGACTGCAAGTAAGTGATCGCGGTCTCTTTCTTCTTTCGTATTCCAGGTGTCTTTTTTTCTCTCTAGAAAACAGCATGGGAGTAAAACTAACCGCCGGACAAGAGGAATGGTCATTTTCTAAAAGATGAATNCGCGTGCCATTGGTTCGCCATCCCTGATCTAGGGGAAATGGGTGTATGAGGGTTGATGGCGTTCATAAATATTGGGTGACTACTGCTGGGTACTCCAAAAAGACATGTCAAATTCTCATCACCAAACTCACGTCTACAGTCAAAATATTCAAACCAAGCGCACCTTATGTAAAGGAGGTTTTTGTGTAGTTTGAATATTGCTATGTGTAATCTCACTATCTTTCAAGCTAAAGCTAAGTTCATTCAATAATAAATATTTCTTGTGAAATAAAAATGGTTATAAGAATATAATGATGATGAAAAGTGGTAGGCAATGTTTACATATATTTAATCAGCATGTCGTAGAAAAGGGTACGAATACCAACATATCAACTAATTTTTCTTTTTTTAAAATTTGTTTATCAATCCAATTAGTCAAACGAAAATTTTTAAACATAAGGATATTTTTAGTGACTTCTACTGATCCTCCATTTATGACATTTAGGGTGGAAATACTACATCAAAAGTTTAACTTAGAAAATTAGATAAAAAATAAGATTAACATAAAATAACGATACATTTCCAAAATGCAGCATAGAGTGGCTCTTTAACATGGTATACAATTAACATTAAGAAAACATACCAAAAATAAAAATTTATGATAAATTATTTATCTGATTTACATAATATACATTTTTAATTTAAAAAAAAGTATCCACTCTATATTTTTAAACTTTTTAAATTGATAAAAATAACTTTTTTATCTTATGATTTTTAAAAAAAGTTTTCAATTTTTCTTCTTCTTATTTACGGCAATCATAATTTAATATGCTTTTTTTCCCTTCCCAAACTTAAAACCGAAGTTTCCGTAAAACTTAATCACGCTAATAAAAGTCGAAAACTTTAATTTGTTTGTATCAAATGATGAAAGAGACATTTGACTTTAAGGTTCTTCTTATGGATTAGTTTCTCAAATTTGTTATCTATTTTCATTCTGTAGAACTTATAAGAGACAAAAAGAAACATTTATCCTAATATTTGTCTGATTATTGAACGTCTTTTTACAGAGATTATTAGAATGTTAAAATGAATGCTCCACAAGTGCGAAAAGACACATTATTGCGCATGCGTGTTTGTTATGAGAAAATCGTTTGACTAAGAAGTTGTCTTCACTTGCAAGCTTGTTTCGTGACAGAGAAGTTGTTGGGAAGTGAAGTTTGAGATTTACGACGAAGATTAATCCCCGATCAGGTAAGTTGCTTATCATTTAAATTTACTAGAAATTTGAGTTTCTAGATAGGGTCAAAAAGTTTGAAATTATTGTAAAATATTTAACTATTTAATGTTTAATAATTTAAAATCATAATTTAAAATTTTAAGTATTTTATTATATAATGCTAATAATAGAATTCAAGATTATGAATTGAGATAGTACTTATTAAGTTCATATCAGTTATTATTCAATGTGTTATTTTTTTACGATAATTTATTTACTTTTCAAGCGGAGACAAGTTGCTATTAATTTAAATTGCAATATGATTTGATAAATAACCTATAACAACAAATTACTGAAAATTACGTATTGCGTATATTTTTTTGTGTAATGTTGATTATAAATTTTTTTTACAAAAAATTCTACCTTTAATTAAATACATGTTAATTGTTGTTTAAGATATTATTTTTATACAATAGTATTATTTGTTTACTTTGTGAGGAGAGTTCATCTAAATTTACTATTTATATGTTAATCTTTGATAAAGGATAACATATTGAAAGTATATCATTTTCATTTATAAAAATTTAAGAACGAAATTACAAAAAAAATAAATAAAATAAATTAAAGTATTTCTATTTGAGTTCATACCAATATTCATTTAAGATATCATAAATTATAAAAACTGTTTTTATTTACCAATTAAGCAGTCAATTTGCCCATTATCTGAACTTACTGGCAATTTGTTTCTTTTTATTGTTGGTTAATATGGCGCAACAAATTAAAATTACCGAAGAGCTTTTTCTAATTATTTACATGATTATGATAAAACTGAGATAATAATTTTGATGAAATTCATACTATTTTGGATATTATTTTTTATTCATAATTGAGTAATAATAATTTATGGGATAAATTTTTACCTGCAGTTAATTTATTGGAAACAAAGATTGATGAATCTAATTAAAATCTTCTGAAGTATGGGAAAAGGAAATCACTTACATTTTTCGATAGTTTGTTTAAATTAGAAATATTTTATTCAGCTTAAAGATTTGGTAATTAAACTGCAAATCCCGAAACCTTGTTCATATATATAAATATGTAAAAAAGACTTAATTTTTATAGTGAAAGCTATTATAATTTTTATTGTGAAAGCTATTATATACAGGAAGATTTAACAAATAGATCGTAGTAAAAATACAGAGGAATATATAGTGTTTAGTTCTTTAACGCTGTTAAAGAATTTTAAAAAATGGATTAATTTTATATGGGTTTTATTTAAAATATCATTTTCTTAATTATTGAAAATCAAATTCCTTTTAAAAAACATTTTAATCTCTTTCTTACTTTAATGGAAATAAATATTGGTAATCGTGATGAAAATTTTTATTAGATTAAAATTTTTGATAGTTTGTTTAAATTATCAATATTACTTTCAGCGTATTAATTTAATAACTAAACGGTAAATGATTGCTTTTTTAAGCTTATATTTCAAAAGTATATGTTTGTATTTAAAGCTGTTACAAATACGCCATCTTAAAAAAAAAGGGTCGTTAGCATAAAGACTAAAGAATACTGGAAAACTCTAAGCAATAGGAACATCATGTACTGTTAAGTAGGAATACGAATTACAGCATCGATTTCCAGATTACTAGTTCAGTATTTAAATGTCTATATTAATTCATTTCAAAAATTTGCTGAAATAATGTTAAAAGTATCATTTCTTTTAAATATTTATTTCAATATAATCTCAATATATGATAATATTAATATATATGAAGATTTTTCTTTTTTATTTTGTGCTTAACCGTCCAACAATCAAGATCATTGGAGGATGTTGTATGATGCATAAAATAATAAAAAAAAATGTTTTAATAACAGTTGAACTAATTATTAAGGTGGAACTCGGTTATTAGACTGAAATATAGAAGATGGAGCGCAAGTATTTATTAAACATAAAGTATGACAGAAAAAGAAATAATATATTTTTCAGTTGTTTTATAAGTAAAGTTCATACGAACCTACTTTTCTTGGTTCTCAACATCCTCCCCACCCTGGTCTATCTCCAAAGGAATGACCAATAGCAGAAGACTCGATAAGATCTTGTCCCTGCACTTCAAATGAACAGTTCTCACAACTCCATCTCGCCCAGGTATTAGTTTGAGAGCAAGAGCTTTTTCCCACATTTGGCAAGGACGAAGCTCTTCCTTGAGAATTACTACTAAGTTTTTATTAAACATGAAATATGACAGAAAAGGAATAACTTCTTTTTCGGTTGTTTTAAAAATAAAGAACAGTCAGTGAGCGTTTATGCGAACCTACTACTCTTGGTTCTACACAATAATGTTTCGATTTTTAAGTAATAACATGTAATCTTAATGATTCATGACTCTAATCTTAAATGAGCTAATTAAATTATGTATACATGAGTTTAACACAAGTAACTGGATAAAAAAACTTTTTTTCTCTTTTTATCGGAACTTAAATCTTTATATTGTTGAAGGTGGGTAACCACAATCTGAGTAATATGGTACCGAAATTATTTTACCTAGAATAGAATTCGGGAGTTAAACACCCTTAATGTTTATTTTATTTTTTTCACTTTTCCTATTTTTTTTTGCCATTTTTTAAGATAATCAAATGGGTTTGTCGCATATTTATAAAACTTGTTTATCTAATATTTTATTGAAAATAGTTACTAATAATTATTGTTTTTCATTATTTAGTGTTTTAATAATGGGGTGAATAATTGAATTTATTTTCATGCAAATCGTTATGCAAATATATTTTTTATCAATTGAATAGGCATCTACATAATTAGTTTATAAAAAGATATTTCAGTGAGTAAAGAAATTGATAAGATTATTTCTTACGTTTTATTATTTGACATTTGGCTTAATAGTTACGACGAAGAGAAATGAAATGTAGGTTAATAAAACTTTGTACATCGCTTAAAATTATGTGACTCTAAATTGAACGTTTTGGACAAAACCAGTGAAATTGTTTCTGAGTAATAAAATAATCAAGTAATCGAAGTTTAAACTTCTTCTTTCTCAATATTCATTCTACTGATTTTGTAGGAATTTTTTGATTTTTTTCCCTTTAATATTAAATAGTTTAAAATAGCGTAACAATTTGTCAACTTTACAATTAAACTGTTTTCTATCTATTAGTAAATGAAATAATAAGCAATTCAAAAAATTTTAATTTTTTATTGAGTTATTTTTGGAGAAATTTCTTTTTGTATTACTTATTCGACTATTATAAATAACTAGTGGGCTGCGCCCCCCTGCTCGCTAACGCTCGCCAACCCCCGAAAATTGCTACGCAATCTTATATGGTTTGCTTCGCTCGCTACTAACTTAGGTGCATTCAAATGCACAAAATTCAAAGAATTCAAAACAATCATTCAAATCCATATAACAACTTTTTTTTTAAAAAAAAATTACATCTTTTTAGTGAATACTAGGTCATTAAAATAAATTTGAATTCAAATAAAGACTCAATGACTGAGACTCATTTTTCAATGAATAACTAATAACAATAATAAAGCAAATAAATTCGTGATATAAATCAAAAATCGTCAAATAAATTCGTAATATATAAATTCGTGAAAAAAAAGCGCTTTCGACAAAATACTAAAATAGAGATCTATCGACAAAGAGTACTCACTTCTGCCTAGCTTAATATTATGAGATTGCCGCAGCTGAACTGTTATTTCAGTTTCCGTTTTTAAAAGCGCTACATGTTGAGCCATCTGAGCTAGATTTGGCATGTGTCATTTTTAGCGGCTATCATTGGTCGATTTTCTAGCGTTGCCATTCGGGGAGTTGTAATGAGGCTTTTTTTTGTCGCCGTGTAAGAGAAATATATATGTTTTCCGGCAAAGTATGAAATCCGGCATTGTATAGAATGACTAGGCATTGTATAGAATGCCTAAAATTAGCCGGCAAAGTATGAAATGATTTATATTTCACACATTGCCTAGGCATTCTATAGAATGCCAAATGAGAAACCGGTAAAGTATAAAATACATCTCCGATTCGTCAAAATGTCATTCAAAAATGACAAATTCCAAACGTCATCCGATTTGATATTAATTTATTCGTGGATATAATTACATTTATTCGTTATTTTAATACTTACTGACGATAGATTACATTTATTCGATATTTTAATACTTACTGACGATAGATTAGAAGAAACATCAGTGTAGGGTATACCGGGCAAATATATATCGGGCAATGGCACTTGACCTTAAAAAACATCAGTGTAGGATATATCGGGCAAATGTATACCGTGCTGTGGCACTTGACCTTAAAAAAACATCAGTGTAGGGTAAACCGGGCAAATGTATACCGGGCAATGGCACTTAACTATACCTAGTATGACTAGGCCTTTGGTAAATGTCCGAAATATATACTAGGTCTAGTTAAGTGCCACTGCCCAATATATCCTACACTGATGTTTTTTTAAGGTTCAGTGCCACTGCCCGGTATACATTTGCCCGGTATACCCTACACTGATGTTTTTTTAAGATCAAGTGCCATTGCCCGGTATATATTTGCCCGATACTCCAAACACTGATGTTTCTTCTAATCTATTGTCAGTAAATATTAAAATATCGAATAAACGTATTTATATCCACTAAATTAATATGAAATCGGATGTAATAAATATTTCGGACATTCACCAAAGCGACTATGTGATTGTCAACATTCACCGGTGAAAGTCAACAATCACCGATTTCGCTCATTCGCAGTAACATGCACATCATTTACATAATAACCTCATCAGGACGTTTATTTCATACTTTGCCTAAATAGCATCCGGCGTTGTATAGAATGCCTAAGCATTCTATACAATGCCTAGGCAAAGTATGTAATACTTCTCACATTTCATACTTTGCCTAAAAACGTCAGGCATTCTATACAATGCCTAGTGATTCTATACAATGCCGGCGTTTCATACTTTGCCGGTAACATATATATAGATTCGTGGTGTAAATAGTTTTAGACATTTAGTGCTATGAACAAAA